CAAAACTAGGTATCAAGCTATTATAATATTATTACGGTACAGTCTGTAGGTAATGTATAATAAATAATAATGCTAGACAATTCCCATTATTTAGAATCGGTAATATATTATTACAACGTAATATTTTATTATCTTATCTTATCTTGTTTTCGCGGTCGTGCCGTCACGTCGTACAGTGGTCAGGGAACCATCTAAATTTACTTACTAACACTAATGTCCATTTACGAGTATACAATTACTAACACATCCGCAATACAATTATAGAAATTGCCTATAAAATGTCCCTTAATAAATGTTAGTGTCGAGGCCCCTTAAATACGAATCATGCATAAATCCAAATTTTGACTTACTCTAACTTGGTCAGTTTTGAAAATAGAAAAAAACTGTTGATACAAAAAATGCTCAAAAAAAAATAATCTATCCGAATATGTAGAAAAAAAATAGTGTTTCTATTTAAAAAAATGTAAGTTGTATTGCGCATGMGCACACCAAAAGTGTTAATAATTTGAAATTTATCCAAAAATATGTATTTAGGTACTCCCTAACACCTCCCGAAAACGCCAGTTCAATACAAGGTCATGCACCTGAGATATTTAGTGTTATCATAAATCGTGATCACACTGTATAATACAATTAAAAAATTTAAAAAAGGATGTAAAAAWTACAGATAATACCAGAATGGAAAATAATAAAATATTTAGTTACATAATGTATGTAATTTCAGGTACGTTCCTGATAACAATAATGTTAATAATAATGATACTACATAATAGATATAAATGCGTAGATAGAAACAGGTATAGGTATGCGATGCAACAATTGATGGAAATACCAGAAATTGAAGTAACGGAAATTTAAAAAGAAGAATAATAATAATATTAGAATAAGTGAGTGGAATAAATTCCACATGGGATGTTTCTTTAGAATTAGAAATAGAAATGATAGTATTAAACGCAATAGGAATATAAATAACTAAAATATATATGTATAGGAAATTAAAATAGTAAAAATAATTATAAAGTATAATAATCTAAACGTGTAATAGTCATTAAATTAGAGGTAAATAATAGAATAATAAAAAGTGAAAAATGTGAATGTATGTAAGAGACGTGATTAACTGATTGCATATCTGTGTCAACAAAGAAAAGAAAAAGAAGCCGGTGGGTGTTGCGACTATATTCTATTGGAACGAGCAACCACCGACACTAAAAGGAGATGAGACGATAGAGCAATTAGTTATTTACGAAARMATGGCGAATTCAGCACTTAAAAGTTTCAATGAGACTAGAGAGAGGGCATGGATTTGGCAAACGGTGATAAATGGATAAAATTTTCTTTTGAATGTAATAGTAAAATATCTTATTTAAGGCAACCAGAACCAA